TTATCTTGAGAGTTCTTGTCTGATATAAGATTGCGCAGGACCGAGGCCGATTTGGCCATCAATATTCGCAAGGCCACCAGTATCGGTATGTCGTTAATTGAGGACGAGTTCGATGCGGGAGAATGGACATGATGAGCTGACAATTTAATAACAGAGGAAACCGCCCCTAAACGTATGTCCTGATCATGTTTCACTGCCATCCATCGAATCCATTGATGCCGCCTCAGCTTTGCCCGTCCGAATCGAACTGACCATCCTCCGCGCCTGTAGGGAAACATGTGCGGAGCTGCATCGTCTATACGTGGGACCACAAGTCATCGGCGGCGTTCTGGGCTGGCATGAAAGTGTACGTTTTGGAGTAACCGAAAGTCATGGAAAATGGCCGTTGTTCTCGAGATGGCTGACACGGCTTCGTTCTTCACAGGCAGCCCGTTCTCGCCGACGAGGTCCAGACGTTCAAGGCCCTGATCACGATACACAAGGTTCTCCAGGAGGGTCACCCTATGGTTGTCCGCGAGGCGCAGCAACATTCCAGCTGGATTGATAGCTTGATGCGAGGAGTTGGAGGCGATGGCGTTCGAGGTATGTATTCCACGCAGGACGCCTGCGCAATTGCTCTCTGCTCTAGGAGTGGCAACGCATGCGACGGACCGTATACTGACAGTTCTCGATAGGATATGCGCCGCTCATTCGGGAGTATGTCTTCTTCCTCGAGGCGAAACTGAACTTCCACCGCAATCACCCCGAATTCAATGGTATGTCATTCGCAGTTGCCCAGTACTGTGAAGGGCTGGTATCTGACAGTCTCAGGCTTGTTCGAGTACGAGGAGTACATTAGTTTAAAGTCGATCAACGATCCAAACGAAGGGTGGGTACATACTTGGTCTTTGCGACTAGGGAGAGAGGCGCTGACAGTCACACAGCTACGAGACTATCAGCGATTTGATGGGCCTGCAAGATCAAATCGATTCCTTCCAAAAGCTCATCTTCTCGAACTTCCAGTCCGGCACGAACAACGAATGTCGGATCTCGGCATTGGTGCCACTTGTGCAGGAGAGTTATGGTATCTACAAGTTCGTTACCAGCATGTTGCGAGCCATGCACACAAGTATGTTGCTTTGGCCCTTGGAATATTTGTGCAATAGCTGCTGACTGATGTTTCCTGTAGCCACTGGAGAGGACGAAGCTCTTGAGCCACTCCGAGGCCGATATGATGCCCAGCACCACCGTCTTGTTCGGTTCTACTACGAATGCTCCAACCTGCGCTATCTGACAGGGCTCATCACAATCCCGAAGTTGCCACAAGATCCGCCTAATTTGCTTGCCGAAGATGACGATCGCCCAGCTCTTCCAAGACGACCGGCGAGAGAAGTGGAAAAACAACCCTCGCCGCCACCGAAGGTCTCTGCTGAACCAGAGCCGATCAATGATTTCTGGACGAACGAAACTAAACGCCAACAAGAAGAGTACGAGGCGGAGCAGCGACGCTTGCAGCAGCAGTGGGAGGACCAACAGCGCCAGCAAATCCTCGCCCAACAGCAAGCCCAGAACGAATTCGAGGAACAGCAGCGTTTGCAGGCGGAACAACAGCGATTGGCACAGGAGCAGCTTCTCCGCGACCAGTACCAGACACAGACACAAGGCCGGCTGGCAGAGCTAGAGCAGGAAAACCTTAACGCCCGTGCACAGTATGAGCGCGACCAGCTGATGCTGCAGCAATACGACCGCCGTGTTAAAGAGGTCGAGGAGCAGATGAACCACTTGACCTCGAATCTGAACTTGCAGAATGCCTCGAAGGACGATCAGATTCGATCCCTGCAAGAGCAGGTGAACACCTGGCGATCGAAGTACGAGGCATTGGCCAAGTTGTACTCGCAGCTTCGACAAGAGCACCTCGATCTTCTGCAGACCACCAAGAGCCTCAAACTCAAGGCAGCTTCCGCACAAGAGGCAATTGACCGACGAGAGAAGCTGGAGCGCGAGCTGAAGACCAAGAACTTGGAGCTGGCTGACATGATTCGGGAACGTGATCGTGCTCTGCATGACCGTGACCGTCTGACGGGAACTAACAAGGATGATCTGGAGAAGGTCAAGCGTGAGCTTCGCATGGCTCTTGAGCGTGCTGAAAACGCAGAACGCTCCAAGGGCACCGAGATCTCGACCTTGTTGTCCAAGTATAACCGCGAAATGGCTGACCTGGAGGAGTCCCTTCGAGTGAGTAAATGTTCATCCATCTTTAAATCTGTGATTCAAACTGACCTTTATAGATTAAAACGCGCGCATTGGACGAATTTTCTAGTCGTAACAACGACCGCCAGGAAGACCTTAACCTAGCTCTTCGCGAGAAGGACGAGGAAATTGAGGTGTACAAGGCTGGTATGGACCAGGCTCTTGAGGAACTGGAGGAGTTGAGACTCGTAAGTGGTGATGTTAACAACATTCGATGTCTGCGTACTGATCATATTCCACTTTAGAGCCAAGGCGATGTCGACCATGCGCTAGACAGCCAGATTGACACTGTGCTTCACGGCACAGTCGCTAAGATTAACGATATTATCGATTCCGTGCTGCAGACTGGTGTGCAGCGTGTCGACGACGCTCTGTATGAACTGGATTCGTCCATGCAAGCTGGTAACCAGAATGCCTCTCCTCCATATGTCCTTTCGCAGATCGAAAAGGCGTCGGCTTCTGCCACCGAGTTTTCGACAGCTTTCAACAACTTTGTCGCCGATGGTCCCAATAGCCCCCATGCTGAGATCATCCGCACAGTGTCCATCTTCTCGGGATCTATCTCGGATGTGTTGAGCAACACCAAGGGTCTTATCCGCTTCGCCACCGACGATAAGAGCTCCGATCACCTAGTGAATGCTGCGCGTAAGTCTGCTCAGGCGACCGTGCGGTTTTTCCGTGGCTTGCAGTCGTTCCGTCTCGAAGGATTGGAACCACTACAGAAGACTGATGTTGTTATCAACAACAACCTCGAAGTTCAGCGTGATCTACAGGCGCTGTCGAAGCTGGTTGACTCGTTCGCTCCTAAGAATACCAAGATCAGCACCAGTGGTGATCTGGGTGACCTTGTCGACCAGGAACTACTCAAGGCCGCTGATGCTATTGACGCGGCTGCCCAGCGTCTGGCTAAGCTTAAGAATAAGCCCCGTGATGGGTACTCGACTTACGAGCTACGCATCAACGATGTTATTCTTGCCGCCGCTATCGCCGTTACCAACGCAATCTCAGAGCTGATCAAGGCCGCCACAGAGAGTCAGCAGGAGATTGTTCGCGAAGGCCGTGGAAGCTCGTCTCGCACCGCCTTCTATAAGAAGAACAACCGGTGGACGGAGGGCTTAATCTCTGCCGCTAAAGCAGTAGCCTCTTCGACCAATACATTGATCGAGACTGCCGATGGTGTAATCTCGGGCCGCAACTCGCCCGAGCAACTTATTGTCGCCTCCAACGATGTCGCAGCCAGCACTGCCCAGCTTGTCGCGGCCAGTCGCGTCAAGGCAACATTCATGAGCAAGACCCAGGACCGGCTGGAGACCGCCAGCAAGGCCGTTGGTGCTGCTTGCCGTGCCCTCGTGCGACAGGTGCAGGATATAATCAGGGAAAAGAACCGCGACGGCGATGATGGAGAGGATTATGGAAAGCTGAGCTCTCACGAGTTCAAGGTCCGCGAGATGGAGCAGCAGGTAGGTGACGCCCCATTTCCTCTGATATCCCACCCACCCAATGCTAATCTGTTATCCTTTCAACAGGTCGAAATCCTCCAACTCGAGAACAGTCTCGCTCGCGCCCGCCAGCGTCTGGGCGAAATGCGCAAGATCTCTTACCAGGAGGATTAGGGAAATCGTCGCATGTGTCTTTCGCTCTTGGCTGTCCGTGTACATTCCGCATCTCAATTCCGAGGAGCTCTGTTTCCTCCGTGTCGCACTTTGCGTTCTTCGGCCTGGGCCCATCTCCCCAAACCCCGTAATTAGTCTCCTGTTTTGATTTCCCATAGCGAATGCAAGTAACTTACCCAGCTCCCTGAATCATCGTAGCTTGTAGACCTACTCCCCCTGTATCCGTGTCCTGTTCTGGCCCAAGTAGACAACCCTGTAGAGCGCACGGTCGCATGCACGGCTCGTCCCGAAGTCTCCGGAATGTCCCCTGCTCGAGGCTGCATGCCAAGCCTTGTCTCCATACCCGACTGGCGGGAACCATGGGTGCAGTGCATACCGATTCACGGGTGGATTCAATTAGCGGCGGTTACCAACAAAGGGTATCGAGACATCATCTCAAGCCTACAGACAAAGAATCGAGGGTCTACGCGTCGCTGGGTGGTTGGAGCCTCGAGGTCAAAGCAATATGTAGACCCAAGTAGACTCCGAGTAAGGCAATGGAAATGACTGGTTCGCAATCCAAGAAACACGGTAGTTGGAGGAATGGTTGGTCATCGATATATTGCTGTGTGCCCATGATGGGAAAGATGCAACTGTATGCTAGAGACGCGTCCTTGCAAATCCATTTTTGACTTACATACTACAATAGAGAAGGTCATTGGCGCAAAGTCACTAGTTGAATTGCAATTTAAAGTACAAAAAAAAAAACTCACGTTGCAAGAAAAGTGCGTCTGGAAAACCCCGTGGGAAAGAAAGCCAGTCAGCTCAGTTCCTGAGAACTGGTCATGAGCGAAAACAGAAGAAATGGAAGAAGAGACGGCTAATAATACAGGAGAATTGTGCGACATGCGAAGGAAATTGAATTTTTTTTTTGAAAGTGGTTTGTTTTCAATTTTTTTGGGGGGCGGGTTTTGAGAAAAAGTGCATTTGAAAATCCGACTGGTGAAGGCGATTCGTGTATGCTCGTGAGGGACCGGTCATCGAAAGCAGACAGAAAAAGGAATGGCATGGTGAATTGTGATTCGTAGGTGATGGTCATGTCAAGTGTCGCTGAGCGGGGTCAAGATTGAGAAGGAGCCATGTTAGAACACGGTAGGGATAAGCAGAGACTTGAGAGCTCTAGTTATTCCCAAGAAGTAGATCAAGGTTTGCCATTGTAGTAGAGTAGGAGGGGATACTGTCTGGATCATAAATGACAGGAATGCCGTGGTCGCGCTCGGAATCAAGGGTAGAGTACATCTCATCAACTTCAAACTCTTCGATTGGCCACTGAGGAACGTCGCCGAGTACCCAGTTCTGAGGCTCCGGAATGGTGGCTGAAAATGATGGCTCCACGGCGAACACAGCTCCATCTTCGAGAATGTGCTTGTCCCACTCTTCGTCACGTTTCTGGGCAAAGTTGTTGTCTGTGCAGTGCTGCACAACTTGGTCCACAGAAATCATAGGAGTAACGATGTTGTGCAAATTTGACGAGCCAATCTTGCGCAAGCTGAGGCTGTTTCCATTGGGTTGGACACTCCAACCAGACGAGGCGAGATACTGCTGACGAGAAAGAAAACCCATCAAAGGCAGGCAAAGATCAACAAAGATAGAAAGTGAAGGAGTGTCGACATCGAAATGATCTCTGATGACAGTGTACGCCTTGGCAAGGATAGCCCAGTGGGATTTCAAGGTATCGTCTTGCCACATTTCGCTGATGGCCATTGACTTCACCTTTTGAGGAATTCCAGGGAACATGGGTGCGCAGAAGCCTAAAAAACTGTCAGAAGTGAATCAACTATCACAAAGATGCTACCTACTGCGGAAAATCATAAAAGAGTTAAGAGGACGGAGACGTCGCTGCTCCAAGGGAGGGGATAGAACATCCTCCATGGCAGTTCCAACACATCCGGTGGTTGAGTCTGGGTGAAGTTGTTGCATGGGCAAAGCTTCGTCAATGCGTTTCAGTTCCAGCACGCCATTGGCATAGACAAAGCGTGGCCCGGTGGGCAAGAGTCTAGGCTGCTGGAAGTAGTTTGCAGGAATCTCACGCAGAACGTCAGCTGCATAGTGTCCCACGGGAGAATCCTCAGGCCAACGGTCCAGCACCCTAAGAGCATGTCGAAAGGACAAGGTCTCGATGTATCGAAACAAAAGCATTTCAAAATGAGTAGGGGTATGTCCCAAAGGGACCGGAATAGCAAGTGTGGTAGACATATTAAACAATGCAGTGAGAGTCCAGAGTGAAGAGGTATCTGTGAAGAAACAAGGTGTGGGGTGAAAAGAAAAAGAAAAAGGTGGAGAGAACAGTGGGAAGAAAGAAGAGACAAAACAAGGTGGGGTGGTAAACAAATATAGGAACTTAGAGGCTGAGGAATAAGCTGGGTGAAGGTCGGCAACGAGGGGGACGATTTCTTTGTTTAGCAGCAACACCAATCATAGAGGAAGGTGACAAACATGTGATTTCTTTGTTTGTGTAGCAACACCAATCACAAGATCTTGCTCTATGAGGGATTTCCTTGTTAGGAATAGTAACAGTAGAACAAAGAAAGTCAATTCTGGAGGGATAAGACTAAGGAAGAAGTCATTTTGGAGTCAAGTACAACTTCCACAACAAGGTCGTGCACTGTTGTAGATCAGGATGTTAGACAGGCCATTCGGACCGTAACACTGTGTTGTTTGATAAGACTGTAGCTCCTCTACCTAAAAACTGCCATGATAAACTTATTATGATAACTCATCAAAACTTAGTTTCGATCTGTGCTACAACAGATGTATACATGCAGGTCGGGTAAGTGGATCTTTCTGGGTTCACCACGTGGCACTGCAGATCCGGGGGTTAGCGCCCGCACCTACAGGTAACCTTGGAACCTTAACATATCAAAGTCTACCTACACGCAACAAAACCAGTGATTCTGTTTCTTATTATATAGAGAATGCTAGTTCTGTAAAGTAGTGAGAAAAATGCTATGGTCGATATAGGAGATAACCTAAGACAAAGTATCATCCGCCAAAGTGTTGACAAGGCACCTATCCACGATGAACTTTTTTAAAAAAAAATGGAAAATCCCTATAGCAACAGCAAAGTAAACAAACCACGCAAACGAGGGACTGACCAATATGTGTAAGAAATCAAACAAAGAAATCAAACAAAGAAATCAAACAAAGAAATCAAACAAAGAAATCAAACAAAGAAATCAAACAAAGAGATCAAACAAAGAAATCAAACAAAGAAATTATTTACACCCAATTAAAGAATTGAAATAGGGGGAGGGGAAGGGAGGGGAGGGGAGGGGAGGGGAGGGGAGGTGGAATGGCACATGGCAAACACCAAGTGCTTCACTCGGACAGTCAAAAAGGACATAGAAGTCTTCAGCTAAGTCTGGGCAATGAATTGCCCGCTGCATGCTGCTATTTTGGCATATGACATCTTCTTAAATAGCATCACATTTTGTCTTACTCATTGATAGACGTATTTTGTTAGGATAAAAGGCCTCAGAACATATGAGTGCTTTCCATTAGTCATGTGTGCGTACGTCTACCCAAGTAGGTATTCTTGAAAAGTATCACATTTGGATCGTCAGAGACACTCAGTGTACAATCAACCCTATTGAATCTACAACGAGCGTATAAACATCAGCAACTTTAATTATTAACTGACGTGGTTATAGAATGTTCAATTTTTTTTGGCTACCGAGACATCTCCCCTTTCTAGGACATGCATTTTATTGCTCTTGCGTCGCAACCGGTGAGTTCCAATCACTTGCCCAGATGAAAGTGGAACACCGCCATTGAGTACCCTTTTCCTTTTCTCCGCTGGGCCCTAAAGGCCGGGGACAAATCCAAAATGAGCGGCCGCGATTCATTCCGGGCTTTTTCGTGGTCAAGCTAATACACGGCTCTTGGTGTCCATCGCATGGTGGAACGGGCTTCTTGGCGAAAAGTTTTGACCAATCCTCCTTGCTGACAATTGGGTCAATTATTGTGTCGTCAACAAATTTGCTGGCTGTCGGCCATTCGATAGAAATGCCATTTTCCTTCTTTATGATGTCTTCTTGGGACCCCGGAGGTTGCAGATTGATCCTTGGGGCTTTCCCTTTCTCTCGTGGGAGTTCTGATGGTTTGGAGTGAAGTGATGGTGTCGAGAGTCCCGGTGAAGCCATAGGTGACCGGGTAGCTTCGTGTACATCGACAGCTTTTGGCTTGAAGAAGCCCGTAAGTGTCTTTTGTCCTGCCGTAGAGCTCCCGGAAGATGTTGAAACGGCGGACTTGGAGCGTTTAGGGAATTTGATAGGTAGAGGCTGGGAGCGTTTGCGAGAAACAGTCTGAGGGGTTTGATTTTGTTCAGTAATAAGCGCAGAGCCCGTTTTGGTCGAGTCAGTGGATCCGAACGCTGTGTGCATGGCTGTAGATTCCGTGACTTCAGTTGTTGGCATGTTAGCCGGCGTAGCAGCTAGCTTTACCGGCCCTGACGGGATGCTGGCTGGTTTGCGAGCGAACATGTCCTTGATACTTCTTCGCTTATCAATGTCAAATTCAGGGAGCAAACGCCCCGAAGCAGGCAATGTGCACTCGTTTGAGTATTCCTGTTGTCGCTTGCCACAGTTAAACATTCCCGTTGGGTTGAGAATATCCCGAATGTTTACTTCGCCTTCGGGTTGATTCACAGAATCTTTGATGACTACATATACAGGACAGTGATCTGATCCCTGTAAAGCAGTCAATCAATAGTTCTACACAAAGGAGAGAAGCCCATACCATCAATCCCTCTTGAATATTCGAGTCGGAGAACCAGTTCCGCAGATCCAAGCTGCACAACACATAGTCAATCCTTGAGCCGTAATTCCCTGGTCGAGTATTGAGCTTCTGATCCCAGCATGTATACATGCCTGTTCGATCTAGGTGAAATGACCTGCAAACATCAAAGAGGACGGGATTTTCCCTGCCTTTATCACGTTCGCCAATAACCACGCCATCTGACATCAAGTGGTTGAATAGACGCCGAGAAGGGGCAGATACAAATTCCTCCTCTGTCATCGTACCTTTTCGTATGGCCTCAATCCCATGAGCAGCATCAATGCTCTGCTTTGAAATATTGATATCACCAGCCACGATCACATTCTTCCCCATCGCAGTCAGGTTGCGAATTCGAGAATCCAAGGCATTGAGAAAGTCCATGCGAAAGGTATCTCGACTCTCATCGCGATAGGCAGGGCAATAGACACCAATGAGGACAAACGCAGGAAATTCCAGAATGACGCAGCGCCCTTCGGAGTCGAGGGTTGGCGCGTCTATTGTGCCATCGGGCACCGAGCTCACATCCTCTTGCTCTTCTTCCGATTTGTGCCCATCGGGATTCATAGCGGGCCTAGAAAGCTGATCGGATGTTGGATACCCACCAATCTGCTGCTCTTCTGGAAGACTGCGGAAAGATGTTGAGGATTTCGGAGGGCAGAGAACTCCAGTAATGCCCTCTTCTGCCCTTATTGGAGAACATGTGGCATTGCGCGTGTAAATCACAACGCCCGAGTATCCTGATAGCAGTTAACTTTCTGTTTGTATAGTGATAGGGTAGTAAAATTGCCTTTTTTGACTCGAGGGAGACTGAAATAACAGTCCCATCCAGGAACCAAGACCATGTCATCGCGGAGGTCTTTGCGCTGAATCTTGGTTTCTTGGAGAATTACAATATCCGCCTCCAGTATATCAAACATGGACTTTGGACCAAATCAGCTCGAAATATTCAGAAAATTGAAGGATACAAACTTACCTCGAATGAGCGCGTCCCTCTCCATGGCTCATAGGAGAACGGGTTTCTTTTTGTTATAAGCGCTGAACAGGTTCAACTAGCAAATTTCTCTCATACCTTATACCATTGACTAGAAAAGGATAAACTGTCGGTATATATTCACCACTCCAAATATCCCCAATATTTCAGACAGAACTTACCATTCCATGTGGTGATGCGGAATCCCATGTTGGACGCGAGTGAATCAGGGGATAAGGCAGCATTTCTTGCGATATGAATAATCAATAGAGGCGAGGCACTGGTGGAAAAAGTCAAGTCAACAAGGACCAGACCCTCCTCTAGTTGTTAAATCTAGGTCATGGGTTGCGGGAGTAGTTCTCCCGACGTCCATACATATCGCACACTCAGCACGTGATATTGTTGCCTTGTATATCAGGCTTCATGACATCAGGTTACATAATCCGGGAGATCACGGGGATACGCTAAAGACGGCTTTGGACCTCATCGCACCACTTTTAACCTCCATCACCAAAACAACTCCTTAGCACCACCCACCATGTTCCCTCAGCGCAATCTCGGTCGCCTGTCCCAGCGTGCTTCGCAGCAGATGCGTTCCGCTCCAGTCCGCTCCACCATTCAGCGCCGTTTCAACAGTGCCGAGGCTAAGCCTTCTTGGATCGTTGACAACGAATTCAACCGCGAGAGAGCTGCCGTTAAGCACCATGCTGCCTCTACCAGTGGTACGTACCACCATAGTTGACCTCAATTGATTGTGCCGCATGGCCATTGGCCCGTAGACAACATCCGTTACTGACTAGATGATTGTACAGACCTCTGGCGCAGGCTGTCCATCTTGTACGTTTCAATCAAAAACTGCATTTATTTGACGCCCTCACGACAGAAAACAATCTAATCTTTTCGCAGTGCCGTGATCCCCTGCCTGATTGGTGGCGGTCTCAACGCCTACAACCTCTGGTCCGAGCACTGGGAGCACTGGGAGCACATGGCCCCGCTTGAGGAGCGCACCGAGTACCCTTACCAGAACATCCGCACGAAGAACTTCCCTTGGGGAGACGGTGATAAGGTATGTGCATCCAATTGTGCTATGTGCTGAAGACTCAAGCTAATCCGTATCTGGAATAGACCATCTTGTGAGTTCCGACTTCTCCAACCCACCACATACTATGCATTGTTTTGCACAACGGCTGGTTTCTGCAATTTCAACTAGATGAACTGCTTTCAAGTGGATCGCATGACAAATTTTCGCCATTTCACCCGCTAAAAACTAGAACTGACTCATCATCTACAGCTGGAACTCCGATGTCAACTACCACAACAAGGACAAGGCCACCTAAATTAGGTCGCTCACAATACTCCCTTATACTCGATATTTCCCTTCGAGTCCCGCTAGGGAACTACTGAGTGTGCCGGGGTCGGCTTCTCCATGTACATATACCAACTACGCTGTCGTTCTATAGCAGAAACACAGTCAAATGCTTGGGGAGCTGAACGTCCAGTTGACAGAATGAGGCGAAGCTTACTATGTATTAGTATACATTCATTCTTCCTGCTCTTCATTATGCTTCTTTTTGGATCATTCTATTTACTTGTCTCGAACTATACTTTTAAGGTTGCATCGGCCGGTGATTGCAATCTCCCATCCTGCCAAGTAAATACTGCGACTTGGACTCTTTGAAGAAAACGCATGTCCCAACTGGTATTACAAATAGCCTACATTGTATTCTAAAAGACAAATATTATGTCTTACTATGTGTTTCACCTCATGCTAAGATGCTCCCCAAATCGCATGGAAACTCAAACAGATCACTGGGTTTTACTACAGCCTGACTTGTTAAGGGCCAAGCTTCTCATATACATAAAACTTGATAGAGCTTTAGGCTATGAAGAAACAGTGACGCAATGTCTTGAAAGTAGCAAAAATATCTTCGCGTGCATTCCGAATGGCCTGATCAACCACGCTAAAAGGACCACGATAACAAGAAAGGATTCGCGTACAGAACAAAAATTTCTTGTCTCCTTGTGATTTGGACTGGAGTAATCAAGTTGGTCCACAATCAAACGATATGAAAAGGCACTTGTATCATAATAGTCGATGCTCCTCTAACAAGATAGGCCAATTTGCTTACCTCGCTGAACTGTAGATCCATGAAGCTTGAGAGTATTTGGTATACCATATAAGTGTGGTTAACTATCAAAAATTGACTGCGGTGGCGAACTTAACCTGTACATGTCTAGAAGTAACCACAACTCCGCGTAAAAATGTCCAGGTATTTAAGAAGACAATAACACTATACAAACAAAGAGCTATTTGGGGCGAGGAGATCCAGCCCAGACTCACCCTCGAGCAGAGGGAACAGGCGACGAATCCGATCCTCTAGAATAGCATATTCAGCCTCCCAACGTCGACGATCGAGACACTTCGCCTCTACGCGGCGCTCGCCGCCAAACCAAGCACCCTTAGCCTGATTCCTGCTCTCCTGTTCTTCTTGTCGAGCACGGGTTACAAGGGAAGAAACCATAGTTTTCCAATTCTCTAGCCCAACCTTCAGGCACTGTGCGCAACGAGTTCGAGCAGTACGGTCGGCTGAATTTCCAAGGTCGAGCATCGTGGACTCGGCCATGTCGACTGCATCGCGCGTCCAGGCAAGGCCGGATTCCTTCGACGAGGAGGCGTACAAGATCTCGCCGATGTAGGTCATCAGTCCTGCTTCTTCGCAGGCGGATGCCGTAGTGCGGCGTGGGGGTTCGTCGCCTGATGGGAGGGGTTCTGGGTACTTCACGGGAATGAGGACATTTCTGAGCGATCTGAAGAGAGAAGCGAACGGATCGTTGTTTGATTTAGGCAGGGTTGAAAAAAAGGGGGATGTATCAGAGTCTGGGGATAGAGGGAGGCTGCGTCGGGCTTTGAGAACAGATGTGAAGAGGGACAAAGCTGTTGGAAGGTTGGCCTGACGAGCGTTGTGGACGGCGAGGGCCGTGGAGACACGCATGATGTTCTCTGAAGGTAGATCCCCACCGTTGTTCGTCAAGATGCCACTCTTCAAGTCCACGATCTTGCTAGCATCTACTTTTAGCCCACTAGCAGCAATGTCCAAGGCCCACTTATACATGTCACCCGCCGAAAGGCCCAGACCTTTGAAATCAAGCCAATCAGCATATGCCAAGGCAGCATCAATTTTCTGCCTTGTGTCAAAGCCCTTGGTTGTCAAAATCCTCATATAGAAGCGCTCTGGAGACGGAGACGCCTGCTCACAGTCCTCTTCCCGCGGGACCTTCTTCTGGCCAGCGGGCATAGGCTTCGGTCGGGGATTTGAGGGTCCAACAACATATTCCGCAGGCGCAGATATTTTCTGCTTGCGATCTGTTAGCCAACCGTCCAGGTTCTCAGCAGCCTTGGCAGCGCCCATCAGGGCCTCGAAATATCCGCGGCGCCAAGGCTCACTCTTTGCGGAGACATCGAACCCAGTGCGACCGACACCTTCAACCAGAATTCCGCCTTCATCTTGTTCAATGAGACCTTTACCCTCTCCCTCTAGGTTCTCCAGACGCTCCAGCAGCTCACGAAGATATCCAGCAACCATGGGCCAATTCGTCATTAGCTTGCCGATCTGCTCGGGGTTCTGCAGTGCCTGCGCGGATCGCAAACACCAGCGGCTTTTCCAGGACCATTCCGGGGGAGTGGGCCATGAATGCTCGATATCTTCTTGGTAGATACCAAGTTGTATTGCAGAGAATAAGACAAGAATGGCAGACACCGATAGGCCGATTTTGACACCTCGTGATGCTCTTCGCTTGTAATGCTCGCGGCTCTCGGTAGATATCAAGCGACCAAAGTGCTGGCGGAGATGGATTGATAGGGGCGGGAGTGGACGAGTCGGCGCAAGAGGTGATAGGAAGGGTAGTTGAGGGCGACCCGGCGCCGGAGAAAGAAGAAGGAGGTGTGTGCGATGGGTGAATGGTCGGAGATGTACGTTAGGACCGGAGATCCGAGTTAGATGAGTCGGTCGGATATGACTCGGTATTCGGCCGACGATGTTTCGAGGAGGCAACATGATTGAACTACCGAAAAAAGTTCGAGATCGTTGAAGCCTCACCATGTACCTGGTGATTGATGGTTTGTCATGTTTGTTTGGCACGTGACTTTTGCAGACATTTCTCGGAAATAGGTCGATTCGAAAATTTCATCCGCGAATCGAGTTTCAGCAAATCTAACCTCATTTCTCGACTGTGATAGCATTGCGCAGTATTGTGTGTATCTGGAGATCTCGAACTTCATTTCTGTATGGGAAGTATACAATCTTCTTGTTTTGAGAGAACTTGATCTGAAATAGGCATGCATCTTGGAGTTCCACAGTTGCCTGGCAGATATACGTCAGCTTGGAGCTAACATTTACATTGCATTCAAAATAAATTTCAAGCTCAAAGCGTTGCACTAGCATCCTTCTCGTAACCGAAAACCTGATTCGCCTAGTGGTTTATTGACAGCTGTTTAATGGTCTAAGCACCGGAGTCAAGGATCAGTCTCCAAGGTCACAAGAGAGTGCGCCAGTGGGCCATTTCCCCGTAGTTTACCACAAGTGTGAGGGAAGCACTCGGAGTTTTTCCTATTTTACAATTTGCTAGAATCGCAACTCAAGATGGCGCTACCTCTGCGTTGATCGCACGTTGCAAGTCCCGGCGTTGAGAATTTCTAATGGAAAATATTCCCAAAGATCTCCTCCCCCCCAAATACGATATTTTGCTTCTGTCCCTCGTAATCAGCAAGATGTGACTTTCTGGCTCGATTATACAGGATATAGTTAGCTTCCAGAACATTGACGTCAGTCTCGGCCTGTTCGCTGTAGGAGGGTTTGTTATGGACAAAATTGAGAACTATGTCAACATTTTCAACGACTGTGTCTAACTATCCATGTTTTCAAATAGCTATGGATGTGCGAATGGTTCTTTACATCAACATTGGCGCTTGCTGACCTCCTTTCTGTTTAATGTATACATGTATAGAAGTGGACCCGACTGATCGACGCGATTAGATAACGTTTAAGATAGTGGGGCTATTCCACATTGGGGGCCTGAGGCTTCCAAGTTGTTCAGATGCTTTTTCTACTTGGCTTCCATGTCAATTCCTTTTTCCTTTTCTGTTATTCCACCCTATAATATTCATCGATTTTCTACTTTCAGTTTTATTTTCCTGCTTCTTTTGCTACTACAATTGAGACACTTAGCACTTCCAGGGTGGATTTCTTGACACCCCCACACACGTCTCATTGATTCTTCTCTTCTACCTTCTTTTCAAGCTTTTAACACAGTGACCCATCATCATGCCACGAAAGAAATTCTTGCAAGATCTTGCAGATGTGGCAGTTCCCGGCCGATTCTCCCGCATTTCTGAAATCAAAACTGGGGACTATGATGGATCAGTTTCCTTCACATTCGCAGCACCTGAGGCAGGCCTCACCCTTGATCTCCAGGCCATAGTATCAGGTAAGAAAACCTAATAGCCTATACTGATTTCTAAGGCTCTAATTTTCTTTAACGCTCAAACAGACTCTCACGATTATCCCAAGAACCATGGCTTTCTAGCCTTCTCGTCGTCCGAGGACTGTCCTAACACAGTCACCTCCTCCCTGGAAACCGCGGTATCCTGTTTCACAGGCCTCACAATTCATGACTTGTTGAGCAGAATTGAGAGCATTATCAACAACTCTATTGCTGATCCTGATTCGGCATCCAGTCACCCAGAAGACCCAGGCACTCAGGACTCCAACGACGATGAGTCGGCTACTAGTGACACCGAGCCTGACTGGGAGTCTGTGGGTGAAAACAGGATATTCACTTTCACTCAAAGCGAGACTGAATTACGAGAGAAGATTCGACGTGACCTCCGTGTGGTTAAGAACGCGGGATTCAAAGTGGGATACCTTGGGTTGAAATATGGCACCATCATCGTGTCAGTGTCTTGCCGCATTTCCAAACTTGGCATTCCCAAGGAAGCTATGAATGCATGGAGCGTCGAGCCCTCGGAGTATTTGGTTTTGCTGATTTGTTATCGACCGACCTACCTTGATCTCCAAACAATTATCGAGACAGCAGGTGATACGAAGAATCCACCTGTTCAGATGCATGTTGGTCTCTGTAATTCATACAAGCCATCCCTAGAGCACGCTATGGAAGTCATGGAGAGATCAAAGGATCCAAAAACGAAAGAGGAGAGTACAACTTCGGACAAAACAATGTGTGGTCATCTTCTCAAGCCACTGTTCATTGGAAAGTCGCTCAATTTACTTCTCGAAGAGCGACTAATTGGGATCATCAATCTTCGATTAAAACATGGGTTTTCATGGACAGGAGCCGAGCTTTTCTTCCAGACCAATCAAGGCAGAATTTACGTCGGCTCTGATATTTCTTCCGAAGAGCACTATCAATTGGACAGCTGGGCCACTTCGACGCCAGAAATCCTTATGGCGGACCATATGACTGAACTAGGTCGCAATGCCTCTAACATCTCCTTTCCAATCCTTGCTATGCAGTTTACTCTGCGGCATTTTATCAAGTGCACAGAATTCTGTCTGGTTTGTCACTGCAAGACTGGTGATACCTTTGAGTCACTGAAGCCCTATGTCTGCTCCAACGCTTTGTGTCTGTATCAATACATGGCGCTGGGCTTGGGCCCAAGCATTGAATATGAAATTTGTTCCCAACCCTTTGTCGTTGACTTGCTGGCCAGTCTGGCATACACAAGGGCTTCAGCGGGGCTCCTTGAAGACTTCCCGACTGGTCTTCGGCTGCGCGTACCAGAGAAATTGCTCCCTCAAAAAAAGCCAGATCTTACTACATACTACACTGGGCAATTTGATGCAGCCAACCTTGAAATTCAGTTGATCCAGCCGGCTCCAGTCAAAGCAGGTGATTGGATTGTTCTCATCATTACCATCCCAGAGGCAGCAGAATGGCACTGTCGCATTGAAAATATCGATGTGACCTCAAACCATATTTTCATCTCAATTCCGATTAGTTTAGGCCGTCAGTTGCAGCCAGAAGACCTGCAGGCTCCACCCCGGCAAGTAAAATTTGTTGTTTACGACACTAATCTGGACGATTTGGCACCTGTGCAAAAACAGCGGATGATTTCTTGTCTGTTGGGCATGCTCCCTAGCATTGAGGAAATGAAGACCTTCACTGAAAGCCATGGAAGGGGCAAGCTTCTTTCCTCGTGGAGAGACGTCATATCACCCGCTGGGTTGGACCTTTTGCGCTGGGTTGTTGCCTCAAATCGATCTTTCATCAAGCAAGATGACGATGAGCCTCGGCATAAGGTAGTTGGAATGAGTGGTTACATCCAATTTAGATTTGTCCAAGGTGCTGCCGACAAAGAGCGGCGCTTTATCAATGCGGTTCATTCCAATTCCTTGGCCCAGAATCCTGATCATCCTACAATATTTGCTTGGCATGGCAGCTCTGTGAATAATTGGCACAGCATTCTACGTGAGGGGTTTCATTTCAAGCAAATTACCCATGGCCGCGCCTGTGGTGATGGTGTTTACATGTCGAACCACTTCCATACCTCGTTGGGATACAGTGGTACACATATTGATCCCTCGTGGACCAACAGTCGATTGCGGATCATGACGGTGATTTCTCTCAATGAGGTCGTCAATGCTCCCCAGGATTTTGTGAGCCGTAGCCCACACTACGTCGTGCAACACTTGGATTGGATTCAACCAAGGTATCTTTTTATCAAGGCCCTAGATTCCAGCCTAGCAGGGGAAATGGCCAGATATGTGTACACAGGTACTAAAAAGACCCGGAAACCCCAGTCATCATCTAACAAACATGATGAGAGCCTCATATACAAACAAGATCAGCGCTACCTAGCTTTAGGCCCCAACGAAAGGCCTATCAAAATCCCCATCTCGATATTTAGCGGTCAGCGGGGGGAATTTCTTCGTGCTGCTAGAAAAACAGGGCTTGCAGGCCTTGCGCCGTCATCCAAGAGGCGCAAATTTTCCGTTGAAAATACTGAGCAACATGACAACGAAGACGAAGACGACAATGTTAGCATTGAGACGCGCATAGAGGATCTCAGTATTCTTTTATCCGACGACGAAATGTCTGAGAATCCTTCAAGTCCCAGCATGCAAGAAGGAACTGCCCCAGAACCTGGCCTCAAGACTGACTTCCGACCTGGAACCCTACAGGACAGTACTTTCCCTACACTTTCTTCGCCAAGGTTTGCGACAACCTCAGCCACAAAAGTCCTGCAGCAGCATCTTCAGGCTACCCTCAAAATCCAGGAACGAGTGCCACTCCACGAGCTCGGATGGTACGTCGACCCCAGCTTGATCACAACAGTCTACCAATGGGTCGTGGAGCTACACACGTTTGATCCCTCCCTCCCGCTAGCACAAGACCTCAAAGCCATCAACCAAAAAAGCGTCGTCATAGAGCTTCGCTTTCCCCCGCAATTTCCCATGGATCCACCTCTTGTACGGGTGATCCGCCCTCGTTTCCTTGAGTTTTCTGCTGGAGGCGGCGGTCACATTACCACTGGTGGCTCTATGTGTATGGAACTGCTGACCCACTCGGGCTGGCTACCGACGGCTTCGATCGAGAGTGTGTTGTTGCAGGTTCGCATGGCTATTACTAACACCGATCCAAGACCCGCGCGTCTGAATCTCAACGCACGTCACAGGGACTATTCAGTAGGCGAGGCGGTGGAAGCTTACAGAAGAGTTGCGTTGGTGCATGGATGGCAGGTCTCGAAGGATATCCAGGAACTTGCCTGGTGATTTTATTTCTTTTCTTTGAGGAATCGTTTGTACGGAGTTGATTTTGCTTTGAGCTGGTTTAATTAGTTCCTCCTTGCTGAACTTGTCATACTGTGAGATAACACTTGCCACTTTTTTCTCATCTCTTTATGCATGCCGTAGTTTGTGATTTTTGTACCTGGCATCTCTAAGATAAACGCCTATTGTAAAAAAAAGGGAAACGAAAGCATGGGTCAACGGAGTACATTCGAAGATATGGTTCCAATTCCAACTGAAGAATAAAAATATGTAGTCCTACAATAAGATGCACGACGATCACGATCCCAAAAAACCATACGCCTATTCACAAACACAAAAGCCTTACCCAAAAGGGCAGTAGACAAAACATTGTTATTCATTGTACATTAGTTGACTGGGAAAATTAAAACCTCCGTGGCTCATGTAGACTCAGACAAACCAGCCTGTGGGATCGTGTCTGGGAGCTGCTCGGGTTCGTTATTGGCTTGCTTAGCTTCCGTAGACCGAGAATCTTCTTGCAGCTCTGCTTCGGCAGCGACACTTTGATCAGGGACACTTGTTTTGGATGCTGCTTCTGTCCTTTCGTTTGCGGTGGGCCTTGGTTTTTCTAGTAGATTAGAATCTGTAGCAGCAGCTATGGTGGACTCCACAGGTGGTATTGCTTGAGGCAAGTCTGGGTTCGCGGAAGACTGGGCATCTACCCCTAGGCTTTGTTCCGGGGCCGGGGCATCTCCCATCTCAACATCTTTCGCTTCTTCTGGGTATAGACTGGGCCTGGAAGGTTCAGAGGGACTTTGTTGGTCCGGTTCAGTAGTTGTCGAGGGCTGTTCTTGTGTGCCAGGATGCGAGATGAACTCGCTTGGAATCTGTTTGGATTCCCAAGGCTCTGCCAAGACATCGTCCGATGCTGCAGTCCGCTCAATTTCTGAATGCCCACGTGCCACTGGGGTTTCTAGGGGGGATTCGCTGCTAGCAGGTGGCAGGGCAGTCGCATTTTCCTGCTGAATGGGAAGCGCAGGTTCTCCCTTTGGTGTAAGGTCAGCCATCGGCTCTATGACTTCCTCTTCTTGCGCCTTAGTATGTGGAATTTGAGCTTCGTTGGCTGCAGCTGAAAGCTCGGCAGGTTCACTTGGCGTCACAGCAGATCCGGCGGGATAAGTGGGAGGGTTGTCATACTCCGAAATGATCGGCTTCTCATTTGATTGGGTGACCTCAGCCTTCTCCGAAGGAACCTTGGAAGCCAGAGCGCCGAAATCCATCCCTGGGGTATTTTCAGGCTGATTTTGCTTCTCCTTTTCGATTGGTAGAGAAGTTTCCGGCGCAGGAGGCTGGTTTTCAGGAACGGCATCTGCCATGTCGACATCGGCTGACTGCTCGGCAGAAGTTTCGAATGAAGGCTGATCCGCGAACTCTGTGCCAGACAGAGGCTGGGGGGTATCAGGAGTCTTCGCGTCTATCATGGAATCGTCACCATCGTCGCTCTCATCACCTTCGTCGCCATCTTCATCGTCTTCATCTTGACCAGCCTGGTCGATTGACATGTGCGAAGCATCATGCTGGCCTTCTCTATTGACACCACCCTCCCCATTACCAGTAGTAAGGCCAACTCCGTGTACTGTCGCGGCATCAGCCCCTTCGCCAGGTGCAAACATGACCTTCTTCTTCCGGCCCTTTCCAATCCCTTTGCCCTTTCTTTTAGGTGGGGGTGGACGTCGCTTTGGAGGTGTCATAACAGCTGCTGATCCAGCCTCCGCAACAACAACACCCTCAGCATTGACAATACCGACCCCCTCGACAACCGTCCCAGGTGCGGGCGCTTCGGGCTTCACAGGGACTTGGCTCTGCTCGGCAATCGTCTGCAAGTCACCAGTGATCTCTCCTTCAATACGATGGCCCTCAGGCACCCACGCCTCGTAGACGGAGATGTTGCCTGTTTCAGGATCAACTTTCTTGAATTTCGTCCTCCTCATGGGCCCAGAAGCCGACCCATCCGTACCAGCAGTGGCACCATAAAGTGATGAAAGACCAGGACGTCTCTTTGCCAGAAACTCAACCTCTGCAGGCTCGAGGTGTTTGGGAAGCGTCATCCATTTGCGAGTTGTGAAGCTCCGGTCGGCCATCTGAGATGAAGATGACGGGTCCTCCGCATCTGCCACGCTTTTATCCTCATCATCAGCTGGTCGACTGCCCTGGCGAATATGGATACATCCGGCACGGGCTGCTCGAAGGAGTGCACGACTGATTGGCGGCAAGAGCTGGCTATCTCTTGGCATTGGGAGCTCTGGTAGCGTTGGACCTCCGCCTGGGCCTTGAATGCTGAATTCCGAGTCATCAGGTTTGGGCGCTTGAGAGAAGGTGTGCTGCTGTCGGGACCAGCGACGCACTGGCAATCCCTCAAAGACATCGTGGTCAATTTGGCCGGTGCGGGTACGGTTTGGGGCACCGTCGAGGTGTCGCCCTGAGCGCGAGGCTCTGAACTGTGATGACTTTTAGCCAGCTCATTCGGGCATTTTAAGATCTAGAATATCTAGAATGACCATGTGCCAAGGGCAACCAAGTCGGGACCAGATAAGATAGATCACTACGGGGGCAAGTTGAAACGTACCGTGGAAGGCATGGCAGATGCCTCTATAATAATTCAAAGACAAGTGCGCACAACCAGGAAGCTTGTAATGTCCTTGCGGGGACCACCCGGGGTGAATTCTTTAGCGGGACGTGGTGGAGTGGGTGATGGTAGCGGACCAGTGCAACTCCGTCGCGTTGCGATGCTCCAAGACCGCAAAGATACATCACGTGATCCATCCTTCTGGAACATCTGTGCAACATCTTGCTATGGCAGCCATCTATGTTGTGACAGTATCCCTTAACTTATATCCCTTAGCAGACAGAAAGAAATGCAGTTCGATTAATCAAAATCTGCACTGTGATCCAAGAATGGAATGGAGTGTTTCTGGAGCTTGATAAAGATAGCTATAGCTGCAGCTGTATCGCTGGGTGTATAAATACAAAGATTGAGCAGGTATTTAATTATTCCACCATTGAAAATTTATTGAAACAAACAAAACGGGGTGGTTACAGGTTTCCATTCGATCCTCAAGAATTAATCCCAACTACTATATGTTAGCGTATGCGAAAGAGGTGTGCATGGAGTTTCAATTCAACAACTTACCCAGTGTCCTTCTGGCGAACAATGCCTCCATGGTTCCCGGTTTCCTTTCCCTTCAAACCAAATCAACATGAGTTTGTATCCTGGAGCAAGGCCCTAGACCAAGGGAGGACTTACAGTCTTCTGGCCTTCCACCACCAACTTATCCAACTGATAGAACTGGCTGATGATCGTTTGTCTCTGTAGTTATGTCAGTATAATTACCCACCACGGTTGAGTTTAGTGAGTCATAGGACAATTTTGGAAGGTGGGACTCGTCGACTTTCGGTACACGAGGTTTTTGATGGATCTCCCACATCTGCCACCGATCGAGTTTCACCCTCCAAAAGCCCTGTAATACCACTAACCTTCAGCAAGCGCAAGCTTTGAAGTCCCTCCTGGATCAGTTCCTGTATCCGGCGTTCTTCTGTAGTGTTTTGGTGCTTGCGGAATGAGTCTCTTGTCTTCCGACGAGCGTATTCACGGAAGTTATAGTTGGAAAATTGTCCAGAATAGCGCAGAAGGGAGCGGAACTAATTAAAAAAAAAGAAAAGCACACATTAGTTTGGTTTATTAATAAAATTAAACGCACGAGGATGAAGCGCATATAGAGCCAAGAAGACATACCAAAGATCGTGCCTGGAAGGCAGTCTCACGATGCAAGGACGTGACAGACATGATAGTCGAGGTTATGATAATAGTGTTGAGAGGATTCAGACGGTTGTAAGGGTCAAAGACGGAAGATGAGAAGTGCGAGACGCCAGCTTGGCCAACCCCAGGTTATCACTGAAGCCTTAGTCGCGTGGTCGACACGGCGCTACTGTGGCAAATAGTTGTCCTGAGAACCGCTGAGTCAGTACGCTGGTTCGTGTTGTAATGATCGAGAGCCAAAAATGCAGTTCACATACGTCGGGCCAAGTGAGTCGTATCAAAAGCGCAATCGGAGGTGGCGGTTCAATCTTCCAAGACCAAAGATCCGGGGAGATCAAATCACACAGGAATCGATGGGTTTGATCTCTTGTAGCACAATCTCTTGCAACGAAAGAGATACAGTGGGTTGAAGAATGCGAGAGATTAAAAGAAGCGCAGAGGTGGGAAATTCTTTTGCGTTCGGAGACGAATGACGGAGTTACCGGGGCCGAGCTTCTTTTGCTCCACGTTTCTTTTGTATCTCAAGCGTGTGGATTTTTTTCTTAAGATTCAAGTTCACAATTCATCTTTGCAGATCTTTGCATTGCACATCTGATTCCTGGATTCTTTTGATCTTTCCCTCCATGACTCAAATACCCACGCCACCAGCATCGCGACCGGGCTCAGAGACACCTGAAGTGAAGGTGAAACCGGAAGCTTTAGATTCGGTCCAATGTTTGGATGCACTTCTTGAGAAATACTTGCACCTGCTTGATCGGCAGCAGAAACTACATGCAAACCTGGCAGAACAGCTGTCGTCGGTATGGCTTTCTTAATCATGGACCATGAAGTATGCTGAGACAAAGTAGGGGTTTTTCTCTCTCGCCCAGGCCAATTTCTCCAGTCCTCCTGGCCGTCGTTATGGTCCTGATTATTATGATGGACGCATGAAAGCAATGAGGAAGATGTAACTTCACACGCTGTTAATTGAATATTGACGCTTGTTAACACCGAGATTGACAGATCAATCCAATTCGAACGAAACACGGAGGAATCCACAAACGATCCGCAAGAAAAAGAGGATATCACTGCTCTACCTGGCTCTGAATTCACATTCTCCATCAATACCATACCCACTTATCGACCAGAGAAAGCTGATGAGAACAATGAAACCAAGGCTTCTTCTCCGGTCCTAGGTGGACATGTTGAGGCCTCCGGGGAAACTAGCCCGGCCGAGACGGCTAGCTCGAAGCCTTCAGATGAAGCAGAACCCGAAACCATCCTTGTCGAAAAATCAAAGCCCGTCTCCAAAAAGTTCCGCTCTGCCGATCCAATTCACTGGTATGGAATATTGGTCCCCCAGTCGCTACGTAGGGCGCAAGATTCCTTCGCAAATGCGATAGAAAATCAGGTGCCGGATTTGGCTAGTACAACAGTCGAAATGCGAGCCCTAGAACAGAAGATTAGCCGCGCACGGGCTCAGCTGGGAAATTGAATCCTCCGACGCGACCTGTAGTCATTCGTGACCTTGTCCAACATTGCACGGTTGATTAGCCGTCGTGAGATCACGTTGACGTTGACAAATCACACAGAGCGTTCTATTCCTGAGATGCCGAGAAGATTACGTGACCGGATGTGTTTTAAAACTGGGAATCGGAATCGCCTCTAAGAAGTGGACTAGCAAAACAATCTACGAAATATCTCCTCACGATCCACAAACCGTTCATGTGGCGTCAGGGCCCAGACGTTGGCTGTGGATGTGTAGAGACCCGAGAGCGGAGAAGTATTCAATGTTGCTATAATTGTACGGAGTGCACCTGAAGATTTTAAAAGGGGGAATATGGCTAGTACCAAGTAGGTTTAAAAAATGTTTCAGTGCAAAGCCCTATACTCCGTATTCCGTCCTCGGGATGGGATAGGCGTTTTTAGCAAAAATTCTTAAAGATTTGATTGTTCCTACTCTGCATAAATCTTTCATGTCCAACATAAGTACAGCATACAATATGCAATGTATGAGTTTCGTGAACGTGTTTAACCAAGTCAAGTTTCAAATTGCTAAAAAAGGGAGTCTTCAACATGAGACGTTAGCGGAACTAACTCCAACCCCACTGATATAGTCGACGTATGATTCGCCTACGGAGCAATTTGGGGTCTCATGATGAGGCCCGACCTTTCCCTTTTCCCCTTTCTTTTTTCAGGTACGGAGTACCATATTGAAAAGCTGTATAATGTTGGACGGATTAGATCCAAGAGTCTTTAAAAAGAGATTTCTATGTATACTGTATTCCGTACAGAGGAGCCGGAGATATAAAAGGGCACGTACGGAGTACTCTTGGACTAAAATGAAATGCAAGGAAATGCAAGGAAATGAAGAGTTCGGGATGTTTAACATTAATGGACTCCGTACGGAGCACATCCCGTTTAAGAGGTGGGTAAGTATCCAAGTTAGGAACCACGTGGGGTGTCATGTTCAATGCCTTTTTTTTTCTCTCCTTTTTCTCAACTTCCAAAGGGCTCGAGGCTCTCTCCCCCTTTTGATTTTGTACTATCCAGGCCTGTCAAAGATTGGGGGTTAACCCCTCTAGCCTTGAACGCCAGTTTGATACTAGCGGTTCATTCCTCTCATTTTTTTTTCTTTTCCAATCCCCTTCTTGAACGGTAGGTCTTGCTCAAGGCAATTCCATGACCACTTGGATAGAGCTAGTTCTAACTATTCTATACAGTGGCATTGAATGCCCTTCCATTCTTTTGCCGTCTTGATCCAGTAAATCTTGCTTTTCTAGTTCGTGTTCATTGCCTTATCCGCTTCCTACAATCCTGTAGACACTTGCTCAGTGGCCAGACGCCGTTTCTCTGGTCTCAGTCTGGTCGGTTTCTTTTCATTCATTTCCAACTCGACCAAGATATCGAGCAGTCGTTCATTTCCAGTCCTCTATATCCGGGAAAGAAATCTCCCCTTCAGACCGCAATTCCACCGCGCCACATATGATACCCGGCGAGCCCTAACTTCTCGCAAACCACACAAGAGCATCCACTCCAACATTCGTTTTAACCTGACTTCATTCGACAATACGAACTTGCAATGAGCACAGAAGCACCACGTTCTGGGCCTTCTGGGGAACCTAGCAGGAAAGGTTCCGCCAAGAGTGCCAAACAAATACCGGATGCCGGCGTGAGTCCAGAACAAGCCGCGCCACCCCAGCAGATGAGACAGCCTCTGGTCCCCAGGAATGTCTCCAATCAAACAAACTGGCCTCTTCCTGATTCGGGTCTCCCATCGCATCCGATCAATCAACATCCTAGGTACAAAGTTCCCCGTGGTCCTCTGCCCCAGGGACCACTTCATCCCAGTGAAGTTCCTTCGCCATCCATTTCCTCCGGACAGAATGGCCCAGTCTTAGAAAAGAGCTCGACTCCGAGCCAAAGACCTCCCCACTCCTTCTCACAACTCCAGCCGCCTCCGCTAGCACAGTTGCGCCAGCCGACAAATGACACCGATGCCAGCCCCACCAGCACAAGCGACAAGACTCCTCGAATATCGATTGAAGCAGTTGATTTGCCCCAACAATCTGTAACTTCGTCAATGCCCTCTGTTCACGATGCGCCCCGATTTCCCCCTACTTTCCTGCAGCCCGAGTCCAGTCCATCTCAGGATGATCCCAGGCACCAAGCGGCAGGTCTTGTCGTACCGCTCAATGCGCGACGGCCTGGCTTGGATCCTCAATCATCTATTCCAACTATCACAGAAGAGTTCGCCGATTCTCGCTTTACAAAATGCTCTGTCGCGTCGAGCCGAGCCATCCCCTTGAGCTGGGGATCCGATCCCGCCGAATCTGAGATTCGAGGAGAATATCTCGACATAGATTCAGACGATGGCCAGCTCTCACCAGGCTTCCAAGACGATGAAGTGAGGCTTGTGCGAAATGCCAGTGTTGGAAAGCGAGCAAAACCGACCATGCGTACAATCCTCAGGTCTAACCCTGTTTCTATTGTAGACGTGCCAACCCCCACCCAGGAGGAATCCGCCAAGGACACAGTAGTACGGTCTATCGGGATGGGAGCTGTTGCAAGCCAGGTGCCCCATATAACAACAAGCCATCCACGAGATTCATTTTCCACAACATCGAGTGAATCGCTATGCGGCCTGGACCCAGAAAAGCCACCCTTAGCCCCGCATGATGATCCGCCCTCCGACGCACGGCTCGAAAAAGAGCTCGAGGCCTTCGAATTACTAGGTCACGCTGCACCAGCAATGAGCGACAAAAGACCTGGCGGTCACAAGCCCCCTGCTTTGAATTTGCATGCGTTGCGGGATGCAGAGGCCCGGGGGAGCCTTTCCAGCCTATCTGATTTGATTCGGAGGGCGACAAAGCTCGCATCGAATCTGGATCACGGGAGAACCGCCAGCAAAACTACTTTGGCTGGTGGCGAGGGGGCAGGATTTAAGGGTGGGTTGGGTGAGTCCTTCGGATCCAGATCACCACAAGAGATGCAAAGAAAAAGTACTGACTGCTGTGTGCTTAGGACACCGACCACAAAACTCCGGCTCTCTATCAGATATGCTCGCCTCCTTCCCTCCTCCGGGGTTGGCAACACCCAAAAATCGCGGATCAGGCACATCATGGCCTTCCTTTGGGCACTCTAACCTGCGTAATGTTGAGCAAGTTCACTCCCATGAGGACGACCCAAATCTTTCTCACCCCCGGGCGCTGTGCTGCGGAATGCCTCGGAAGGTCTTCGTGATCATCTGCATCGTTATTTTCATCATCGTCGTTCTTGCGGTCCTTCTCCCCGTGTTCCTTGTCGCCGTGCCCCGCGAGGCCTCGTCCTGTGCTGAAAAGAACCCATGCGCAAATGGAGGTGTGAGCGTCTCAGCCGGTCCCCAATGCTCGTGTATTTGTACGAACGGCTATACCGGTTCACAGTGCACAACTGCGAGTGATGGTAGCTGCACCACTTCCCTGATAAGCAACGGAGCGAATGCGACCATGGGCAGTGCACTCCCCACTCTGTTCGAGGAATCCAAGAAGAAGTTCGATATCACCCTTGACTCGGTCACAATCATGGCTCTCTTCAGCATAAACAACGTCTCCTGCAAGGCCGAAAATGCGCTCGTGACTTTCGGCGAAGTGACTAGTGATGATACAAGCAAGACCCGCCGATCTGTCCACTTGATAGACGACTCGACTCCATCCGTATCAAACGACCCAACTCCAGTCCTGGCTGACCGCTCTGAGGCCACTATGAACGGTATCCTGTACGATGACACGGAATCGAGCAAGTCCGCAACGACTATGCCGACACCCATTCAAACCGGGTCAGGAACGACTGCCACCGCTACTAAGATTAGCGTGCAATCTACTGCCATGAAGCCAAGTGAGTCCGTGCCCACTGTCCCCAGCGTTCCAGGCAATGTTGTTGGGTTTTCTCGGGTTGCGGTGCTGTACATTCTTCAGAAGACAGGCTCGCTTGAAACGGCTCTGGCTTCAGAGGTGGACATCCAAGAATACCTTGTCTATTCCTATGCGAACACGACTCAGCCGGCCATGATGGTAGGGGAGTTCGATGTGGATTTTGAAAACTTGACCATCACGCTTCCCAATAGCACGGTGCATGCGCAGTGAAGATATGTAGGAGAAGATGTTTATTGATGTATATAGGGTTGTCATTGGTCTGGAGTTCATTTAATCATGTACATTGTGTTATCAGCGTCTTCAATGTACACAACATCGAGGCCCATTCTAGCCGATGAAATTCCCGGACTTCCGGGGATTCAGATCACCCGGGTGATCTTGCCCGTTGGAGAAATGTTGGAAATGCAAAATGTCGTGATACCGCGCGGAGGTGACGTGCTCTATCACGTGATATCAGCCTCCTCCCGATGTGGCTCGGACGCTTTTAGATCGGCCTATGTGGAAGGGCTCGATGAAGTACAACGTCCTATGGACTCTAGTGTGTGTACGATTTGATCGTTGTGCGAAGGGTCTCTCTGATGATCTCAATCAAAGGGATCGTCTTACTTTCCCTGAAACTGTGGAACTTGAGCGCTCCATACAATGTTGTCGTCCCATACTTCCATGGGAGGTTCGGAGATCCTGGAGATCCTGGAGATCCTAGCACTATAGAGGCTCCTACTCCTGAAGTTGAATAGACCTGCAAAGTAATGATTTAAATAAGAACCATTTCGAAGATTCCCAAAGGACAATAAGAGGGACACTGTACCCCGAGGAAGTCGACCAGTCAAGACTTCCACCGGTCTCCACTTGTTGACGACTTCTGTTGGACGTGGATGGTGCAATCCTCACCCCCCTCCTACAGGAAATTTCTTGATAAGCGTAGCTTTCCCTCTTTTTTTTCGTTCTTCATTTCTCTTCTTGATTTTCTCATTTTTTGGGTTCTTTTCATACTCACAATGGCTAACGCCCCTCACGGTGGTGTTCTTAAGGACCTTCTCGCCCGCGATGCTCCCCGCCAGGTTGAGCTCGCCGCTGAGGCCGAGACTCTCCCCGCGGTGACGCTCACTGAGCGCCAGTTGTGTGATCTCGAGCTGATCATGAATGGAGGTTTCTCTCCTCTCGAGGGTAAGTACAATTGTTTCTGTTGAGACTCAAATATTTTCTTTTTTTTTTTTTTTTTGGATGGGACATGCGCATCGAGGGGGCAATCACTTACCTTCATGCAGGTTTCATGAACCAGGCAGACTACGACCGGTATGTGTGACACGAATGATCCTCTTCGAATTGAGAAATCCCTCATTCTGCACGAAAATTCAAACCGGCTGACAATGTGCATAGTGTCTGTGAGGAAAACCGCCTTGCCGATGGCAATGTGTTCTCCATGCCCATTACCCTCGACGCTAGCCAAAAGGTGATCGATGAGAAGAAGCTCCAAGCCGGTACTCGTATCACTCTGCGTGATTTCCGTGACGACCGTAACTTGGCTATTCTTACCATCGATGATATTTACCGTCCCGACAAGTGAGTTTTTCTCTTTCTCTCCATGTCATGTTCCCATCCGGTGGCACTGTTATTTTTTGGGGGGGGTTGAATTTTTGTATCCTCGTAAATCTCGTTTTCATATTCATCATGGACGTTTGATGTCACATACTTCGAATCCTTACCCCAATGACTGGGATGTGGCTCGTGCTATAGTGGGGCTCGCTGACGTGGTTTTCCCCAAATTTAGGACGAGAGAGGCTAAGCTTGTGTTCGGCGGTGACCCAGAGCACCCGGCTATCGTGTACTTGAACAACTCCGTCCAGGAGTTCTACATTGGTGGCAAGATCGAGGCCGTCAACAAGCTCAATCACTACGACTATGTCGCCCTCCGCTGTATGTTGAATTTCCCCCATTCGCTCTTTGAATCTGGCTAAAAATATCCTCCACAGACACCCCCGCAGAGTTGCGCGTCCACTTCGACAAGCTGGGCTGGTCCCGTGTCGTCGCCTTCCAGACTCGTAACCCCATGCACCGTGCCCATCGTGAGCTGACTGTCCGCGCGGCCCGTTCCCGCCAAGCCAATGTCCTGATTCACCCCGTCGTCGGTCTCACCAAGCCCGGTGACATCGACCACTTCACCCGTGTTCGCGCATACGAGGCCCTCCTTCCCCGCTACCCCAACGGCATGGCCGTCCTCGGTCTCCTCGGTCTGGCCATGCGCATGGGTGGTCCCCGTGAGGCCATCTGGCACGCCATCATCCGCAAGAACCACGGTGCCACCCACTTCATTGTCGGTCGTGACCATGCCGGTCCTGGTTCCAACTCCAAGGGCGAGGACTTCTACGGCCCTTACGATGCTCAGCACGCCGTCGAGAAGTACAAGGATGAGCTCGGCATCGAGGTCGTCGAATTCCAAATGGTTACCTACCTCCCTGACACCGATGAGTACCGCCCCGTTGACCAAGTCCCCGCTGGCGTCAAGACCCTCAACATCTCCGGTACCGAGCTCCGCCGCCGCCTGCGCTCCGGTGCCCACATTCCCGAGTGGTTCTCCTACCCGGAGGTTGTCAAGATTCTGCGCGAGTCCAACCCCCCTCGCGCCAGCCAGGGCTTCACCATCTTCCTGACTGGTTACATGAACTCCGGCAAGGATGCCATCGCCCGTGCTTTGCAGGTAACTTTGAACCAGCAGGGTGGTCGCTCCGTCTCCCTGTTGCTGGGTGATACCGTCCGCCACGAGCTCTCTTCCGAGCTTGGTTTCACCCGCGAGGACCGCCACACCCACATCCAGCGCATTGCCTTCGTTGCCACCGAACTTACCCGTGCCGGTGCCGCCGTTATTGCCGCCCCCATTGCTCCCTACGAGGAGTCCCGCAAGTTCGCTCGCGACGCCGTCTCCCAGGCTGGCTCCTTCTTCTTGGTACACGTCGCCACTCCCCTCGAGCACTGCGAGAAGTCCGATAAGCGCGGCATCTACGCTGCTGCTCGTCGTGGTGAGATCAAGGGCTTCACTGGTGTCGATGATCCTTACGAGGCTCCTGAGAAGGCTGATCTTGTTGTCGACTTCTCCAAGCAGAGTGTGCGCAGCATTGTGCACGAGATCATTCTTATTCTGGAGAGCCAGGGTTTCTTGGAGCGTCAGTAAAAAAAAAATTCTTCAGGGTTGCGTGAGGCTTGTTGGAGTCGATTGTATGTTTTGCTGCACATGAAGTAGTGTGCTGGCTTTCAAATCGTGGGCTTTTGTTTCTTTCTTTTTTTTTTAAGGATTCCCCAGGCTTAGATGGTTCAATTCACCAATAGATTCGGTTTAATGGTCTAAACTTCTACGCTATAAACAATGTATGACCCAAGAGAGATGATCAGGACCAAGAGGGTGATCAAGACCTCGACAAAGATGTTTTGAATGGGATTCGAACGGGGTACTCAGCTTGAACCAAGTCGTGCAATCGATCCGTGAAGATCCCACAACAGGCTTGATTTGGACGACCTCCCGGCGCTATTCAATGTCAAGGAAAATCCGTCCCAATCAGACCTTCGAACCCACTCAAGAGCAAAGCGATTGTTATAACGGCTTCGATATCCAGGATTAGGCCGCAGACAACTCGCGAGGCTGGCTTGGATTCGAGTCATTACCACCCGCTCATAGAAGGAAAACACACAAAATGCACAGGCGACGCGCTGATACAACCCAAGATAACAAAATCACCACTTCGAAACGTAATTTCAATCTGATTCTCTATATAGATTGATGCCGTCTGTGGTACCCTACATCGCGCATTCTCGGGGTCGAACACCAGAGCAGGGCCAGGCCCTGCTCTGCAATTTCTTAGCAAACCCGTTCCTGGGGACAGATCAATTCAATCTTGCCGAGTTGCCGCATCTCCCAATGATGTAGGTAGGCTTCACCATCTGCTCCATGACTCTACTAGAGACTAGAAATTCCAGGGATAACCATGCTGAGTTTTGAGGCATCTACCCTGGCTATAGATATCAGAGCAATCTCACACTTTCATAACCATGACGCATAAACCAAACTCAAGGAATCATGAATCCACAGTGAAGAGTAAAATGCAGGGGAAAAGAGAGGAAAAGGGATAAGAAAAACAACCGCCAAGAGGAACACACGATGTCGTACAAGGGGGGTAAATTTGCAAAAGGGATTTTTAGCCAAAGTTGAAAAGTATAGAAGATTACCGAGGGGAAAATATAATCAAGTAGAAGAGAAAGAAAAAGTCCATTGGCAAGTCTCGAGGTGTGTCGAGGTCAATAGAAAACAAGAATTTAAAGACTACCCGGCCGTTGACAGATCTGGGATTGCCAGCAAAAGATATGTTGCGGAAATGAATAGGTTATCCCGAGTCCAGACACACCAAGACGACGTACCGACTGTAGTTTGACCAGTCGTAAATCAATTCTTTGTTCCCTTGACAGACTTCAAAACACGCTGAGCCGCACTCTTGACTCCCTTGCCAAAGCTCCCTTTGGCAGTGCTTTTAGCCTTGGGGGCAGGCTTGCGGGGAGAAGCCCCGGAGCCTTTGGAAGCAGCAGCGAGAATTAGCTTCTTGGTCTCAGCAGAAGGTCGCTTGAGCTGGGATGTTGTCTTCTTGGGGGAAGCTGGGGATTGCTTGGCCACCTTGTTAGATCGGGGAGCACGGACAGTGGCCTTGATCCGGCCTGTGGCTTTAACAGTTGGTAACTTGACGTTGGTCTTCGATTTGACAGCAGTGGTGGTTGTGCCCTTTGCTGTTGTCTTGGTCGTCTTCTTCCCACGAACGGTAGCCACAGCCTTTTTCACGCTGGCCTTGACCTTGGACTTGGAAATCTTGCGCTTTTTGCTTTGAGAATCGTCACTTTCGGGTTCTTCTGAGACCTTTCGCTTTTTTCCGATGACTGTTTTTGTAGTTGCCTTCTTCATGCTTTCCTCGGCCTTTCGTTTCTCAAGTTCTTTGGCACGTTGCTGCTTATCCTTCAGCCGTGGGCCAAGGAAGCCTCGACAGTTCGCTGATCCACAGCGGCATTGTTGAACATTCTTGTTAGAGTAAGGACTGATAGCATCAGTACATGGCCAAGTGGCTTGCGTTGCGTGTAACACTCACTCAAAGTTGTAATCGTAGCTCAACTCCTCTCCTGTCGAGATTCCTCGATCTCCAGCGAAGAGTGCCATGCGTGGCTTGCCAGCAACAGTC